ACCCAGTTTTCCTCGCGGTTAATTAAATCCTTTTTTTTTTTTTTTGCACGCACGTCTCGATCGAAATCGGGCGGGACCGGGCCATTAAACGCTCGTTACGCCTTCTTTTCGTGCCGATAGCGACAAAAATGTATAAAAAAGAAGGAGAAAAGAAAAGAAAGGAAAAAGAAAGGAAGACAAAATTCTCGGTAATTGGAATAATCCCATATCGCGTTACGATCGTCGATCTCGTTACGAACGCGACAACTTGACAGGAGCACAATGATCTTTGGATCTTCTTGCGGATCTCGTTTGTTGTTCGTTGTTCGTTTCCATGAGATTTCGATTGTTTTTCTTTTGTTCAATCTTTTTCCCTCCCCTTCTTCTTCTTCTTCTTTCTTATTATATAAAACGTATAGAGAGTAAAGGAGTTTGAGTAATTGAGTTTAGTTTCGAGTAGGATAATTATAATTTTTTTTTTATAAATATATTTTTCACAAGCTATACCTTCAATATGTCGATTCGTAAAACAGATATCGATGGAAAATTCTTATTACTTTTATTCGATATAATATATATATCGATTATCGTGTTGCACACTTTCAAATTAATTTGTCAATATTTCCTTTTTACACTGAAAATACACGGAACGGTTAATTAAAAAGAAAAGAAAAAGAAAAGAGGGAGAGAACACGCGAAATAACCTAGTTACGCATAATTGCACGCCGAAAAGAAGCATGCCGGACAGGTGGTCCAGGAGATAAACCAGCGAGTTAAGTGTTGCAAATTAAAAAACAAGTAGGCCTTCGAACAAAATTCAACTTTTCGACAAGTATAATGGCACAAAGGCTCATCCATCAATACGTGATCGGATTATTAAAAATCAAAGCTCGATATCGTAGATCTCTCTCTCTCTCTTTCTCTTTTTCTCTCTCTCTCGATCTCGCCCTCGAAGAATAAAGTTGTCGTCGATCGAAACGAGACGAGAGGAAGGAAGAAACGAGCGAAGACAACCCGATCTCTCCC